GTCTTGGTTTTGATCCCCAGCACGGAAAAAAAAAAAAAAAAAAGTATGTGCCACCACCACCCTGCCCAAACTATACAGAAACTTGATCACAGAGAGTAATATCCTTTCCTCCTAACTCCCCAGACTCCTATCTCTTGTCCTAAGAGACATCCACATCGGCCATTTTCTTGAGATGTTATTGAACTACACTGAAGTTTTGTCTACTTAAGTTTATTGCCAAAAGAAGTTAGAGAATGGGAAGAAATTATTTATAAAAATGTAGTCAATCTATTCTTTTCTGAGAAGTCAATTTCTTTCAAACTTAGGTAAAGGATATTCTGATGCCAACTTACTGTATGTGCGTGTGGTGTGTGTGGTATGTGTGTGTCCATCTGCAGGAAGACCAACACTGAGTGAAGATGCTATATGTGCGAGCTCCATCAGACAACAGTGCTGTGTTGATCCAGGCATTGCTGTCTATGTTCAAGTTCTCATCCCTTGCAGTTGATCTCATGACCACTTATTCCTGGTTATTTTGTTGTGAAACCAAATTCCCTTGACACGGTCACAGTCTGTGTCTTCAATAAGACAAAGAAGTTTCCCTTTCTTTTAGCAAGATGCAAGGTCACTATAACATGATTAACCAGTTGGGAACCGCAAAGTGCTTTCTAAAGGAAGGGAAACAGCGACCCCTCTTCATAATGTGTTCATCTGTTCAAACAAATGTCTGCAGTAGCCCAGGAAAACACACATTGTCTAAAGCTTTCCTCACTAACTCTTCCAAAGTGACTTGGAGCTTGCCAATTTTTCCTGTTATATGAGGTTTTGTCATAGCACAACACGTTCACACCTTGCCTGTGCTTAGAAATGGCACCAAACTGCAAGTGCTCATACTTGCCGAGGACATGGTGATGAAATAAGTACAATTCTCTGCTTATTCTGGGGTCATGGATTCACATGTCTCTATCCCTAGTCCACAATACCTTCGTCTAGTTTTCATTTTCACATTAAATGCATATTCATCTTATTGAAAAAAAGACAAAACAAAATGGATTGGATAAAGTGTTAAGCAACTTTTCCCTAATGCTGATAGCACCTAAGAATTTGGAAATTAAAACCTGTTTCTTAGTGAGATTTTGGGGAAATTACTTCTTTTTCATTGCTAGCATCTGTTTTGACTTCTTCCCCCATAAAAATTGATGTCCTGACATGTTCTTTCCCCATTATTTTGCTTAGGGCTAATATAGACATGGACTCCAATGACAAATGGAGCCCTTGTTTCGGCTGGGCCCTCCGAGGAAGACATATCGAAAGATAACCGAAGGCCTCTTCCTTTTCTCCTAAATCTGTTTGCTTATAAGTTGTCTGTTTGCTATTCAGGACCTTTGGTGTAAGCTTGGTGGTCCCTCTGACTGTCAATGAGCTCTTTTTGTGTTTCTTTGTCAGGGCCTTCTTACTGCTTCTAACTCCTCAGTTTCCACTAGTAAAGCCAACCCTGAGGGCATCCAGCCAACTTATTTACTCCAGCTCAGCCAAGTCAGACTGTAGTTCTCACAGATCTGAGGATACCCCACTAGGAAGTGAGAGCCCTAGAGGAAGCAGACCCTTAATTCCTGGCATTTTCTTCTTGTTCGGAGCAATGCTATTTCTCTGTATTTAGCAACTTCTCTATTATTCTGACTTCCAAGCTCATGCCTTACTCCTTCCCATTCCTCTATTCTTTAATGGAAGTATTTTTGTCATACTGCTTGAACTCTTGTTTAGAATGCCATTTTGAATAGTTCATTCTGTCTCTTTCCCAAACATAATGAGCTCCATACATATTATAGTATTACATATCTCATTACATTACAGTATTACATATAGTAATATATACTATAGTATTGCAAAGCAAGTAGTTATTTATTAAATGGTGTGAGGGATGAGACTCAGTTGTAGAATTTTGGTCATTTTTGATTAGATTGTAGAAACTGATTTTTTTTTCCTTGAGTTTAACTGAATCAGTCAGATGGTAGAGTGCTAATGCTGTATGGCTGCATCTAGCAGAGTTGCCTCACTGGCCTCCACATCACGTGACATTTCCCTTCTTAGCACTTCTCAAACAAGTCAGTAGTCAGCAGGGCAAGGGCAAGACTGCTCTCCTCTTAGGAGGACAATGTCTGGCACTAGACTGACTTCACTTCTCTTCTCTGGCATAGTGACTTTGGGCAAGCTGCTTGGTCTCTTTGTGACCAGTTTCATCCATAAAATGAGGATGTCTGTAGTATCATAGCCACCATCACAAGTGGGATCTGAGAGCACACGGAACCCTCCCAGAAGGTAGCTGGACTTGTCTCATGTATAAACTGAATATTATGCTGTCTCTTGGCTTGACAACAACTGTTAATCAGAGCATAAAATGAAGCAAGAACATTACAGTATGTACTGACTCCAGGACCAGGCCTCAGTGTTAAATAAAACTCTTCTTCCTGGAATGAACTCAAAGCTGGGAACCTGAGAAAAGCCATTATTTTTCAGGCTTAATCAGGACATGCCACCTGGAGTATTTCTACAATGAATCAGAATCCCACTAATCAGCAACCACTGAAAAGGGCCAGAGGAGCTAAGATGGAATTAATGTAAAGTTTATGACAAGCTTTTCTCTCCGGCTGTATTTCTCTTTGTCATTCATAAGGTCAACTTTTTTTGACCAAATTATGTCTGTCTGTTTGTTATACAAGTTTCTTAATCTTTATGAAGTCATTAATTCTTTAAAATTTATGGATTTCTTGGCTAATCACAAAGCAGCAATTAAAATTTTACATGAATGCCTTTTGGTGGCAAACAGGTAGAAATTTATTTTAGGACTTAATTGTATTGGTTTATATTGTTTCCAGCCTAAGGGTGTCTATACTGGCTTGGTCAAAAATTCCAGATATTGTATTTTAAGGTAAGATTTGTGTTGTCTGTAAGTAATAAACTAAAACTTCAAACAGCTATAAACCAAACAAACCGAAGTTTTATTAATACAGATTGCCATCAACCATGCTAAATTAGTAAGGGACTGAAATATTTAAAAAATGACGTAGGTAGCTATAGCAGGCTCTATGAGGCAATGAATGAATGAAAGAGACCTGTGTTAACATTTTCCCAGTTTACCTTCCAAGTCACTGAATGAGAGTGTGCAAACACAGGGCAGACTTGACTTCCATTTTTAAGCACCGGACACTCAGCTTCAAGTCGGCACTAGGTAGGACTATAATTACTACTAAGGTTCACGGTTCATCTTGGGTACACTAATTGTATAAATCACTTTCAACACTGTATAAAGATTATACTTTTTTGGCCATGTCTAGCCTGCTTAGATTTGTTTTTGTTAGTATCTAAGTACTCGTGCCTAATGATTCAATTACCACTCCTTTATTTATCCTCACGTGAGTTGGGAAAGCATTTATTTCTCTTATCCGCACAATCAACAGAAGCTCATAATTCTTATCAACAATTCTTTCTGATTAGCATATATAATTCCCAACACGCTGCTGGGTTTTCTTGTGGGGGAAGGGAGGGCAGGAAACTTCTTCAAATGCAGAGATCCTGAACTATCAATTTGAATACCTACAATCAGTCTATCTGATAACACTCCCAGGCATTCAAAGGTCTCACAGAAACAGGATACAGGCTTTTGTAATTTTGGTTTTGGTCAAATGACTCACCCACAATGACAGCGGTGACAGTGAGCAGCACAAAAGCATTCCGAAACAGGTAACTCTTAACATCCTCCTTTGTGATGTTCTGTACTTTCTTCTTGGCCAAAAGTGTGCGCTTGCGGACTCCTTGCTGAAATCTCTCCATCCTGCCCCCCATCCTGGGCTCTTCTCCATTGCTTTTTGTCATGTTTTATCTTTCTAGGAATACCGCGTCCTTATACTTCAGTGTTGTGAAATTGTCCCCAGACAGCGAAATCTCCTCTTTGGTGTTAAAGAATACAACTAGAACGGGACAGAAAGACACAAAAGTTACTGCCTCCTGGGCTCAGAAATCAGTGTTGGCTCATGCCACCGTGGGCACTGGGTAAATTGAACTGGAAATCCAAGATTGGAGAGCCACAATAGGTGTACAAGATGGACATACAAATAGAATAGATGATCAAAAAGTTATGTTCCAACTTCCAGTTTGCTCTTTCCCCTCAATGAGTAAGGGGTTCTTCAGAGTAGGACATGACCAAGCACCCACATTCCCACTCTGTTCCTCAAAGCCTAGCCAAGCGCCTTGCACAACCCACACTCAATAAATGCCCGGTTGAATTAAACACACGGAAAATTTCACTTGATAACTCACGTCTTGTATGTGGTTGAAGACATAACTATGTCAATAAAAAGAATTGAGGTAATTGAGATATTGACATGTGGCCACTGACATACATAGTGAATCTTTGGTTTTATGTATTAATTTCACTAAGAAACATGAACAGGTTAACTTGTAAATATGGTCATAAAAAGAACACGGAGTGCCCAGGGGACAGTAGAAATGCATTTGGGCCCTTTACAGGGTAACTTTTTCCATGAAACAAGTACATTGCCCTAGGCACATCTATAAATTATCAGAAATCATAATCCATTTTCATATTATTAGAAGTAAGAGCATAACGCAACATCTGTGTTTATGGCAAACCTTCAAGTAGCGCGAGTCTTCGTATTTTGAAAATTAGGATTTCTGGGACAGATGAAGAGAGAATTCAATTTTCATTCCAAACATTACAGCGTGTGGTTTCTGGTTTCTTTAAAGCGCTCTTAGGTTATTCAAATACAAACGACTAGCCCATTTTCCCTGCTGGAAATCATGAGCTTCCTCCAGCTGCTGTGCAAGATTCTTAATCCCTAGTCTTTGGCGATGATCAGTTTTGCCTGTGGACGTGTGTATCTGGCAAAGCCAGAGCCAGCGTGTGCGTCTGTGGGGGAGGCAGCTACAATCCAGGCACTTTCAGGCTTTCGGCAAATCCAAGGGTGCAAAAAAAGAGACTTAGCAGTTTGACTTTGAAATAAAATTGCAGGTTGAGGTCATTGATAGTAAGACCTGCAATGTGTTTAAGACTTTACACTAGATTAAAAGATTAGAGAGTGGGGAAGAAAGGGAGAGTCCAGATTTTTTTTTTTTTTTAACTAACAGTTCTGATGTCCCTAAGCCGTCAGTTCCCCTTAAAATACACCAGCTCAATCTTGATTTAATTTCTACATCTCGGACCTCCATTTACCTCCAGTCCACCTTGAATGACTGAATTTCAAATGAAGAGCGGACTAGGCTTGGCTGATTAGCATACGCTGGCGGCACTCGGTCCTAACAGGACCTTACCTACCAACATGGCTAGCTTTACTCCGCCGCTCAGCAAACAGAAAAATGGGGCACGAAACTGAGCCCCGCGGGTTATAGGAGGCTGCGCTTACCTTTTCTGGTTCTGTGACCGGTGGAAGACACTCCTAGCAATGTCAAGGTGAATTCCCCAGCAGGTAGCTCGTAGTAATAGCTGAACGAGCGAGCCAGCGAGCGAGCGAGCGAGCGGCGGGGCAGGCTAGCCCTGACAACATGCATGTGCTCTGAAACCGCCACTTACTATCAGGCAACTTAAGAAAAGGGGCGGAGCCTGGGCTGAGTAAAGGGGGAGTGGGGAAATGAAAACAGCAGGGGGAGGAGGGAGAGCCCGAGCTCTCTGGAATATTGATTAATCTTGGCACACCAGAAGCATGCTCGCTCGCTTTGTTTTGCTTCGCAGACCTTTTTCACGCTTTGTCAGTTCACTTTTATTAGAAATGCAAAAATCAGGACCTGGAAAAATCGAAAACTAAAGCACACACACACTTGGACGGTGGAAGTCCCGATTAGGAACCTTTGGAAGACTTCTCCAAGACCATATTTAATTACCTCACTTTATTTCAGGTTTCCTTCCCTTCAAGAGACGTCAGAGGGTGTTCTTTTGCCTGTTCATACAACTGTTGTGTGCCCCCCACCCCTAGCACTGGAGACATAATTGACATTTCTTGGAAGGATCCTGAATACAATTAAGTATAGAGAGGAGAATGCTTACTGACGCCCTCTCAACTTGTATAAAATTACTCAAAACACAAGGTGAGACATGCCCCTGTTTTAGCAGTTTTTAAAACTCCAATATAACAGAACTAATTGAGCTCTGGCTGCCTGCTCCGAAGACAGAAAGGTAAGAAATGCAAAAGTACCAGGATCGCTGCCAAACTATAAAGTCAACGTTTTAAGACCAAGAGTGCAGATGCACTCAGGATTTCCAAAGGTAAATTGCTATTCAGTTCCTTCTGTTTTAAAGAATGCTGGACGTCCCCTTCCCTATTTTTAGGAGTTATAAAGTTCTCCTGCTTTTGAGACTATAACTGGTACTTTCCTGGCCATTCTCTTCTCTCTCTGTTTTTTTTTTTTTTTTTTGGGGGGGGGGGGGGGGGTAGTGGTTTTGAGACAGAGTGTCTCTGTGTAGCCATGGCTGTCCTGGAACTTGCTCCTTAAACCAGGCTGTCCTCAAACTCAGAGCTCCACCTGCCCCTGCCTCCCAGGTGCTGGGATTAAAAGGCATGTGCCACTACACCTGGCCTTGGCCATTTGTCTTATAAGGAAAATGGACCGCACAAATAAACATCCTATAAAATGAAAATGAATTGTTGAGTGTGACTTTACCCCCCCCAACTTAAAAACTAGTTTAGGTGAAAAAAAAAATGGCTCATCAGAACCTAAACACATACCCAAAATCACAGCCAGTGTTCTATTTGCTTATTTGCTGGATTCCCCAAGCAAAGTGTGCTCTGTTTTGGTATCTGCCATCCAATACCAAAGTATATATTTTTGTTCCTTATTAACAAATCCAGGGAGCTAGAAAAAAAATGTTCCCTGCCAGCCTTAATGGTTTATGTATGTGCTTTGGAACGGCTACCAGTTGGAAAGCAATGGTGAACTGTATGAGTGCCTGATATGACAAATTAGCAGTAATTATAACAACTCCCTAACTTGACACGACTTCATTAATTTAATGAAAATACTGTCTCTTGTCAGTCTCAGCCCTTGGTGATCTCTTGCTTTCTTTCCTCTGATGCCTCAGCTCCCCTAATATCTGCACCCTGTTGCTTAACACTTAATTATACCTTGCCTTGCCCTGTGTGCTTCCTTTTAAGATCATGTCAAGTCTGGGCTTCTCAACTAGATGATAAGCTCTTTGAGGGCAAGAACCTGTCTTGTGCCTCATGAACAGGGAGCATTAAGCAATTCTTATGGGTGGCTAACATAATCTAAGCGATTATATCACCAATTTACCACTTTCTGTGGTAAATCAAAGCTACCTGTTTTTCTGTTGGTAGCTTGGATGCATAACATAGAACATAGACTACCATCTTCACCTGAGTCATGCATTTGGAACTGCTATGTTCACTTTTTTTTTTCTTGCTGTATTTTAAGCATTTTAAGGGGACTTGAGAGAGAAATAGGACACTTTTAAGAGGAGTTTCAAATCAATAGCATTTCTGCTCACACTGCCTACCTCCCAAGGCCAGGAAGAAAAGGGCCTGGAAAAACCACTCTGGATAGCATAGAGGAGAGCCTGTATTTTCTTTGTTTTTTGTTTTGTTTTTCCTTTTTTCACTCTTTCCAAATCCTTGAAACTTGGCTAAAACAATTTTATTATTTTAATTTTCGAAAACAGCACAGGAGTCTGGAGTTCATAGAGAAAGGAAATAATTCACCCTTGAAGGTTTTGTTGGTTGTAATAAAAGCTACTGAGAAAATGAGATGCAAAGAGGCTCAGTTCAGAGTTCATATGAACTGCAAGGTTTGGGTCCGGGCCAAATATTGGGAATTACTTCTGGGCACTACTCTTTTGGAAAACTGTAACATTAATGTCCCAGGGGCCACCTGGATTTGCTCTGAGTATTTCTCCCACTGCCCCTTCCACTTCCTAAGCAGGGCCATTGAACTTGGAAATGACTGCCCCCCTTCATAGACACATCAAATAAATGAGATCAAGACAGCACGAGCAAACGTCTGCCAGTTGTACTACATTTAAAGCTACTCAGATACTGGACACAGCGCCCAGGCAGCATTAGTACTGGAGTTCCAGATGAAAGCACACAAAACCCCCAAACAAGCACACACTGGGAGAAGATGCTGGTTCTTTTGAGAAAATTGACCTGAGTTTTCTTTTGTGCAGGCAACAACAGACAGCCTGTGGTTTAGGTAAATTCTTCTTTCTGGGAAAAATAGGATACTGCAACAACAAAGCAACTCATCTGTAAATGAAGCGCCCTGTTTCTGGCTTGCATTATGAGTGCTGGTGACCATAAGTGCTGGTCTTGACACCTGCAGGACAATCTCTAGGGAAGTGATGGGGTTTTTGTTTTTGGTTTTTTGTTTTGTTCCCCACCCTGAGAAGGAAGTTAATTACAAAAACTTCAAGCTTTGTTGACTATCTCCTACTCTGATCACTTAGTTTCAGGAGGAATTTTTGTCATTCCTTCGGACAACTTACACTTCAGGATCTCCTGAGAAGTGTCTGTTCTTTTTACAGTTTGGAAATCAGGACTGTTAAGACAATGAGAAGAAACCTGACTGGCCCCCAGTGTGTAACTGTAGACCAGCTACAGAGAGCAGACATAGATGCATGACTGGAGGTAGATAGCTTTTCTTTTTGTCATGTATGGATACACATACCCCAGAAACATCTGTGGTGAACCCCAGGCTGTTGTTTTAACTGACTGGATTTCATTTTAAAAATCATATGAAAGCTGAAAAATGCAGCTATCCTAACTGTAGAGCTTAATTAGTTAATCATGCTTATTCATTCATGTATTCATTCAACCAATATGAATCAATCACTGGGCTTCAAATGCTGGTTTCTTTCATAACCACACATTCACAAACATTATGTAGCAGACTAGAGAGTGTTATAGGAATCCCATGGGGAGCCCTATTAGCCAGTTTGTTTGCTAATAAGATGGAGAACAAGATGAGTGTGGGAGCTGTGCAATTCCTGCAGGACGTGCAATCACACAGAGCCAGCACTGGCAGATAAAGTGAAGCATCATGGGTAGGATGGCAAGGGTGGCCCAAAGCATCACATTAAAGACCTTAAACTGAGCCAAGTCCCATGTTTTATGTCTGTAATCCTGGGACTAGGGAGACTGAGGCAGGGCACTCGCCCAGAGTTTAAGATCAGACAGAAGACATAGTAAGTTCCAAGCTAGCCTAGGCCTTAGAATAAGACTTAGTCTCAACCCCACTCTCTCAGAGGACCTTGAACTATAATTTCAAGTATTGGGAGCCATATATAAGCACATGGCTGATTTTAATTTTAGATAGGATATAAAGTTTTTAATGAGCAACCCTTGAGTTAGGAAGCTGAAAAGAGAAACAGAAACCAAGGAAGGTGAATTCACATTCACATGAAAACTTGTATTCTACTGAGGAATGGGAGAAGTCTCACAACATCAAAGACTTTGAAGGCCTCAACAATGAGTCAAGGCTACTCCTTGGGGATACTGTTTCTCCAGGCCATCTGGCTTAGCCCTTCACTCTTTTTTATTACCAGCATGCATCTCTAGTATAGCTTAATGGTTTGACCTTTCATGGGGTTTAAGAAGAGGTCAGAGCAAAGGTAGGGTCCCAGAGAACCCCTATAGAAGGTAGAAAATGAAAAAGATAAGCCCTTTAAGCAAATACACAAATAGCGAGAAGTTACACCAATCATTTTTATTAAAAATTAATTAAGAGTTGGACAGGATCATGACATTAAGGAAACCCAATGGATTTCTTTTATATGAAAGCTAAAAGGGGTCTACTTTGTATTACAGATTCCATTACTGCAATTAGTACTACTTATACTGGAAATTACATTTTCCCAGGTTGCTTAACATAAGCTAAACTTCTATAGTACTGAAGTCTTGTTTTACTGGGAAAGAGCATGAAATTGCAAGTGGCAATCATAGGATTTTCTAGCTTTGTTAGTAGTCTAAAAGAAAACTGATTTATTGGATTCTTCCTTTATGTGTATGTGTGTGTCATGAGGGGCCAGAGGCCATCAGGTCCCCTGGAGTTAGAGTTACAGGCAGTTGTGTGTCACCTAATGGGGGTATTGGAAACCCAACTCTGGTCCTATGAAGGTACAACAAGTGCTCTTAACCCCGAGCCATCCCTCCTGCCCTTTTATTAGTACTTTTATGCATACCCTCGCTAATGGTTTGAGTGCAAATGGCTCCCATAGGCTTCTAGAGAGTGACACTATTAGTAGGAGTAGCCTTGTTGGAATAGGTGTGGCCTCATAGAAGGGGTGAGCTTTGAGGTTTCAGATGTTCAAGCCAGGCCTAGTTTTTCTCTCTCTCCCTGAGGCCTGCTAATTGAGATATAGAACTCTCAGCTGCTTCTCCAGCACCATGTCTATCTGCGTGCTGCCATACTTCCTGCCATGATGATAATGGACTAAACCTTTCAACTGTAAGCCAATTCCAATTAAATAGTTTCCTTTATAAGACATGAGGTGGTCATGGTGTGTCTTCACAGCAACAAAACCCTAATTAAGACACCATCTAATTTGATCTTCATGATAATAATTTTG